AATATGATCAGGACTCGCACATCAAACTTCTGTGGTCTGTTTGTGTGGGTGTGATGTCTGAATAAAAGAAACATGAGGAGATGATACATTCTTGATCTAATCTTGTTTCCTCACATATCCTGTTTGTGTTCTAGGGAGACACTTAAAGAGGTGGTGCCCCTGCTGCAAAATTCAGGAAACCCCCAGGTTGAATACATAATCCGAGCTCTGAGGAAGTGGGCCAAAGACAACAGAGTCCTCCTCTCTTGACAACCTTCAGAACTGAACTGAAGAGCTCACTACAGGTCTACATTAAGAGTAGCGAAATTATGCAGACATCAGCAGTCGTTTCCATTGAATGAATGATATCTATGCCACATGAAGCAAAGAAATATGGAGCTATTATCTCTGCTACTCCGTAGTGTTTTCTATTAAGATTGAATTGAATTGAACAAATGTATTTATATTTGTATTAAAATGTGACTGTATTTTAAAAAATATGTTGATGTTGTTGTCAGAGATTAATTTGTATGAATATCAATGTGAAAACTGACTATGCAGTTTTTTTTATCTTTTTTAAGCAATGCAAAAATAAAGAAGAATAGAACAATGAAAGAAATCAGGCCAAAGTGAAACAGACAAAAATAAGTATATATGTATTTACAATTATATATCTAAGAGGTAACTAAGATTAAAGATATTTAGATATGAGAATCTGTCCACTTGTATAAGTGAATGTGAATGTTAAACAGTAAAATTCTAAGTGAACAGATATGTAATGTATTCATGTCTTTCAGAAATGTATCGGTAAGTACTGAAGGTGATCAATAATTTATATTGCAGAATAACAAATAATACAAGGACACATTCATAACATAGTTAAATATAATTGGGAGCGCGGGTGCTACACTTGAGCTGTTCTGTATACTTCATACTAACTCTCAGTAGGTTTTGAGTATGTTGTGTGATGACTGTTGAAAAGTATATTAATAATCTGGAAAACCATCTTTTTTCTTTGTCAAATGCATTTGACAATTTCACATTGGAACAAACATACAGCTGGTGGATGAATTATACTATTTTCTGGTCATACAACAAGGTTAAAGGACCATTTCATTGATTTAATGTTGCACTTCCATATAGACGAGGG